TTGTTGTTGTTGTTGTTGTTGTTGTTGTTGTTGTTGTTGTTATTGTTGTTGTTGTTGTTGTTGTTGTTGTTGTTGTTGTTGTTGTTGTTGTTATTGTTGTTGTTGTTGTTGTTGTTGTTGTTGTTGTTGTTGTTATTGTCGCCCTCAGGAGAAGTACGGCAAGGCGAAGGAGAGCAAGGCGGCGCTGGTTGAGGCGCACAAGCAATATGAGGAGCAACAGGAAAAGGCAAAACGCGAACAGGAACTCTTGGAACGCATGCACATGGAGCGCAAGATGCAGGTGTGCACATGTGCATGTGTGTGTGTATGTGGAGAGGGGGAGGGGGGAGTTTCGTGCGTTGCCTTTCACATCTCACTCGCGCTCACGCCCGCTCATACCTGCGCGTGTCTTGTCATTGTGTAGTTGCTGAAGCAGCAGGAGGAAGAGCAGCGCGCATACCAGATGCAAATGGAGCAACAGCGCCAAGCCGAGCTGCTTCGACAGGTGTGTATGTGTATGTGTGTGTGTGTGTGATGAACGTTGTCCCTCTGCGCACGTCTTCGTTCCGACCCCCCCCCCCTTCCGCCACCACCACCACTGTCGATTACGCTCACCACCACCATCACCACCGCTGCCGCCAACAGCAACAGTTGGCCCAGGAGCGTGAGGCGCAGAAGCGCGCCGCGTACACGATGGCCCTCGGTCAGCAGCAGCCGCCGGGGTACCCTGCCCACGCGCAAGGCTTCCCTCCGCAGCAACCACCGACGTCTGCACCGCTTTACACGAACGAGCCGCAGCAGCCCAATGGTCATAGCCACCACCACCTTCATCAACCGCCACAGCAGCCGCCACAGCAGCCCCTTCATCAACCGCCACAGCAGCCGCCACAATTCCACGCGCCGCCGCCTGGTTACGCCATGTCGCCACCACACGGCGCTGCGCACGGTGCAACCCCAACACCGCCCCCGCCAGCAGCAGCAACAACAGCAACAACAACAACAACAATAACTGCGCCACCACCGCCATCGTCGTCAGTCTCGTCACAGCACCAGCATCACCAGCATCACCAGCCTGGGTTTGCGCCCGCGCCTCAGCCGCAGCACCAGTTTGGTGCCCCCTCGCCTGCCCAATCTCAACCCCCCATGCATCATGGCCCACCACCAGCAGCACAGCAGCATCAGCAGCAGCAGCAGCAGCAGCAGCAGCAGCAGCAGCAGCAGCACCAACAGCAGCAGCAGCAGCAGCAGCACGCCTATGGTGCAGGCCCCTCTGCCCAGCACCCACCGCAGCAGCAGCACCAACAGCAGCAACCCTATCATACCCAGCCTTATGGGCAGTCCGGGGCGCCACAGCCGCCACAGCCGCCGCAGCCTCAGCAGCAGCAGTATTCCCCATACCCACAGCAAGCACCACACATGGTGCACCACCACGGCCCACCACCACCAACACAGCAACCACCTGCCAGCAACAATGATGACCTGCTGATTGACCTTTCTTGAACTGTGTGCGTATGCCTGTCTGCGTGTATGCGTGTATGTATGCGTACGTGTTTGCGTTTATGCGTGTATGCGTCTCCTTGTACGCCCCCTTTTTTGCGTGCATGAGCCGCTGTTATGTTACACTTCCTCAACTCTCAACACCCACCACCACAACTCTCCAAACCACCACCACCACCATGCGTGTACGACTTTCCTGCCCATCGCCATTGTGGGCGATTTGTTGAAGTCATCCAATAAAAGTCGACGTTGCCAAGCAGAAGACAACGACGACAAAACAAGAAGGAAGGATGGAGGAGGCATCGCTGTTTGACATCTTGACAGAGCGCTATCGGCTGGAAGAGACAGGGTGAGGCATTTGGTGAAGGTGCTGACACAAACGCCAATGAACAACGCACAGATACTCCTGTCATGTGTGTATTATGTCACACGTGTGCATATCTGCATTTCGTACTTGCTCATGGACACACGCCCCGTTTGTTTTGTACCCTTCATTGTGTGTGTGTGTGTGTGTGTGTGTGTGTGTGTGTGTGTGTGTGTGTGTGTGTGTGTGTGTGTGTGTGTGTGTGTGTGTGTGTGTGTGTGTGTGTGTGCAGATGTCGCTTAGCGCGCATCAGCATTGTGGCTGAACTCAACGAGGCGTTTCCTGGCCAGCGCGAGCTCTACCGTACGCTTTATGAATGAAAGAGTGCGCTTGGGTGCGTGCGTGCGTGGTGCGTGTGTGAGTATGGGTACGTGTGGCATGGCGCTGTTGATGAGTGTGGAATACGCTCTGGTTGACATTGATTGCACTTACACGCACACGCGCATACGCGCATGCACACACGCACAGATGACTTTATGGCACTCTTCAAGAACCAAGACATTGCCGAGAGTACCACGGGTCTCGTCCTTGTGTATCCAAACTACTTCCACATCGTCATCGAGGTGCGGTATGAGTGGGAAGGGGAGAATTCCGTGACAGCAGACTCAGCGCTGCGTCCGCCTGCGCAACTGTCTATCTTTGCTGTCTCTCCTTCTGACTCCTCCTCGTTCTCTACCTTCCCCCTCTCTCATACCTATCGACTTCCCTCGTTTGCTAAAATGCCTGGGCGGGCACATGTGCGTGCAGCTTCCGGAGCCATCATCGACAGCGTTAATGGAATGGATTGAGAAGCAGGAGACATCGTGCGTGATGTGTAGTACGCATGATGCATGTATCTGTGTGTTCCCTGCTGCTACCATCGTTGTATTTGTCTGCCATTGCCGATCGGCTCTTTGTACACATGCGCACACACAGTCAATTACCTACAGTTTCTCCACACTCATACGCACATTCACACATACACACATTCACACATTCACACATACACGCACTCACACATACAGAGGGTGGATCAGCAGCGCTACGGTGATGTGCTCCGAACTCATCCAGGACCGGTCGTTCCCGCCGTTTGCAATTCAGTGCGTCCACAATCCATGTTTGCTTCATTCGCTCACATCAAAATGTGTTGACTTGGCGACGCAGGCTGTCAGCTTCGCCGTACCATCACATTGCACACGTGCACGCCTGTGTCAGCTGACGCTTACACTCGTGTTGCACATGCGACGGTTTTTTTGGTTGTTGTTGTTGTTGTTGTTGTTGTTGTTGTTGTTGTTGTTGTTGTTGTTGTTGTTGTTGTTGTTGTTGTTGTTGTTGTTGTTGTTGTTGTTGTTGTTGTTGTTGTTGTTGTTGTTGTTGTTGTTGTTGTTGTTGTTGTTGTTGTTGTTGTTGTTGTGGTGGTGGTGGTGGTGGTGGTTGTTGTTTGCATAGGTCTGTACATCTGAGCACAACAAAGGCTGGCGAATACCAGGCGTCTGGTCCCATCTCCACCATCGTTGCCGACGTCATTGTCAACAGCATCAGGCTCGCGCGCATCCTCACCCCGCTCTCCCCGGTACTTGTGTATGTGTGTCAGTGAATGTGTGTGTGTGTGAGTCAGGAAAGAGTGCACGCGCGCGCGCGTGCGTGTGTGTGTGTGCGTGTACTGGGCTGCGTCTTGCGTTGCCTCGATGTTGATCCATCAAGCCTCATTGAGCCGACACGCGTTTGTAAGCAAGATGAACTTGTTCTTCTTCATGCGAAATACACCATTGTCACTCACATGCGTCGTGCCCATCCATTGTTGTCAACAGTCGCAACAACAATCAACCTTGGACAACATCCAATTCTCCCATCCAGAACTGCTCACACCACAAGGTCGCGCCCATGTCGCACGTGTATGAGTGCGTGTACGTGCTCCCCGCAACTGGTCCCTTTTCCTTTGTTCTGCGTTGTCGTACGTTCTTCGTTGATATCCACTGTGGGAGCCTCTGTGTTTCCTCACCTTGCACCCTCACCACATACGTGCCCACCAAGCTACATCATTCGCTTCCTTCCCCTGCCGTCTTTCCCGTTGCCCTATATACAACTCATCTACATCCATCTCACCGCCATTTTCCTCCTTTCCTTTCCTCGGCATCACCCCCCTCCCGCCTTTCTGTCTGTCTGTCTGTCTGTCTCTCTCTCTCTCTCTGTCTGTCTGTCTGTCTCTCTCTCTGTCTCTCTGTCCGTCTGTCTCTCTCTGTCTCTCT